TGGCCCGCCCTGCAGGCTGCAGGTAGTTCATAGGGACTTCCCAGGCACTTCACGTGCAGTTCAGGAAGCAGGAGGTAGTCTTCAGGATTCGGCAGCAGCACTCTGGAGGAGCACTGCGGTAGTAGTAGTAGCGTTAGCAGTAGTCTTCAGCGCTGGGCACTAGTAGGATGGCACTAGTACTGGAGGGAGAGAGAGATTGGGCGGAGGCCAGGGAGACTTACCTGCAGCGCCATAGCTCCAGCTTCGTCTTCGAGGTACCTGCAGCACAGCGCCATCTTCACAGGTTAGTACCTGGCACATGAGAGAGAGAGAGAGAGTTCTTCTTCTTCCTCTTCTCAGTCCACCATCTCCCTATCACCCTCTAGCTACCTGACTTCACTGCATCAGCAGACTATGAGAGAGCGGGATTGGGGACATTGATTCAGACTCGACATTGGGCTTCAGACATTTTGACGAGGGATTATTTGGGACTTGTAACGAAGACTTGGTGTTGACGACATTCCCATCCCCCCCCCCGCCTCTCCTTCGTCTGATTCCCTCCTCTTCGTCTGTGCATGATCTGGACCTGGCGCATTCTTCCTGTGTGTAGCGCCAGGCCGCTTCACGCTTTGTGATGAGGATGATGTATGTTTGGTCTGCGTTGAGACATTGATTGGGCTAGTCATTGGTATTCTAGCATTCCACTACACAGTCTTGTACTACGTGAGAGAGGTCAGTCCCGGTCAGGTCAGGGCTTATATCTTAAGTCTTCCACTGCGCTACAAAGCACCATTCTTGTATGTATCAGGATGTACACTGCTTGTTGAGATTCCACTTGCACTGCATTGTCCATTCAGTCCTTTTTTATCACATTGCGGATCCTTGGTCATATATGTACATCGCCCAACTGGGTATGTAACAGTTGGTATCGGAACACCGTACGTGAATCAGGACAACCTGATCTGACACGTGTGCGGGGACTAATTAGTTGATTAGTCTTGATTAATTGATTGATTGATTGATTGATTGATTACAGCACACTAATTAGCACCCAAAATCACGATTTTGACCTCACTGCCAAAAATCGATTTTATTTTTTTTTTTCTTGGATTTTGTTTTCCCGCTATTTCTGTTGTGGAAAATCGCAATAGCGCAACACCGGAAATTTCCGTTTTCGTTTTTCTTCTGAAAATTCAAAATTTCATTGTTGGAAATCCGGAATATCTTTTTTCTGAAAATTTCGATTTCCTTTTGCAATTTCCCGTTATTTGGAAATCCGGAATATTTTTTTCCCGAAATTCGTTTTTTTTAAAACTTTGAAAACGGTACTGGAAATCCCTCTTGCAGTTACCATTTTCCAAACTTCGCATCTATTACCATCTAAGTAATTCCGAATTTTTTTTATTTTTTTTTTCGGAATTCTTTCGCAGTTCTATGATTTTCATGGCTACGGTCCGGACGTCCGGACCGCTGTCCAGACGGTCTGGATTCAGTCCGGACTCCTGACGTCCGGTCTGGAAGGTCCAGATCTGCCAAAATTCGAGGGGGGAAAAAAAAAAACAAGGGTCCAGGACCCTTCCCCATTGAGGAGCCAAGCCCCCAAAATTGTTTTGGGGGTTTTTCAGGCCCGTTTATGCTTTTTTGGGGGGTCCGGACATGCTCTCTCTCTATAATAATTTATAAGACAACCCCAATTTTTTAATTATTAATAATTCATTATCTTTTATTAGTTTTAAAGCTTTTTTTCAGTTTTTCACTTGTAACTCAAGTTTGGTTAGGAATTCTCACATGACTCTGAGCCAAAAGTGGTTTGCATTGTTATTCTGCATAGCGTACTGTTTTTTCAGATTTTTTTATTTTTACTTTTTTTAATGGTCCGGACATTTCCGGACCTGTCCAGACATCCGGACCGTCCGGATCCCCCCATGTCCGGAGGTCCAGAAATGTCTGGAATTCCGGACGTCCAGAAACTGACCCGTTCCATGTCCGGAAATGTCCGTGTTGCATACTCGTGAATACTTCAACAAGTATGGGGCAGAACCAAAGATCAACCAATATAG